GCACAGGAAATGTATCTTTAAGATCCTGCTTCAGTATCACAAAGCAGAGTGAAGATGGGTAGACTGAAAGCCGAGAGGCAGTACGTTGATGATTGACATAACGTTCTTAGATCGTGATGCAGTGCTTACTTTTCACATCGTACAACTCAAAGGGTAATTTTTTCTAAAATATGTTATACTTTTCCATACACGGTACTTCAGTTTCAGTTTTCAGCTCAACTAGGAGCCATGCAGCATCTTAAAGACCAATTGGAGCAAAGGACACGGATGATAGAGGCGAATATTCATCGGCAACAAGAAGAACTAAGAAAAATTCAAGAACAACTTCAGATGGTCCACGGTCAAGGGCTGCAGGTCTGTTGTTATATTTGAATACAAACCAAGTGTTCCATGCAAATTTTTGTTTCCTAGGAAAATGGACTTTCTTAAGTAAAAGTAAAATACAGGAGATGCATTTCATCAGTGCAGTTCAATACATGCCTGTTGTTTACCTGCTCAGTGTGGTGATACTGATAGGTGCTGAAGAAAATTCATTTCTAAGTATATTTCCATCAATATCCTTATTTTCTAGATTAATAGAACCATCTTTACCATTTAAAGTTTTAACTCATAAAAGTTATATTGACTTTTAGGTACGGAATTCATAAATGAATAATCAGTAATAGTTTTAATAAGGTACCAATATGGGCAGGCCCTATAACCTAGTGGTTTAAGGGAGCCTGGTCCTACACAGATAACTAGTTTGAATCTGGCCGTTAGCAGTTTCAAAACTATGCCAGGCGTGTATGCATGCATGCCCAAATCCCAACACAGTGGAGAACAGGAAGAAAAGGATTGCAGCATGACCATGCCACATCAAGGGTTGATTTCTCTCTCTCCCTTTCTTACTCTCTATCTCTTTCTGATGAGCACACACACCCTCAGGCCAAAAACAAACAAAAACACCATCAGTAATTGTAATACAAAGTAGTCTTATTTGACCAACCAACAGAGAACCACTCTAGAAGTCTAAGACTTTGGTAATGGGTAATAAAGAAAAACATTAAGTGAAAACTATTTGTATCTGAAGCCATAAAATAGAAATGATAGATGATACAGAGCTGCAGTTTATAAGTTTTTTGTTTTTGTTTTGATTTTTAGTTTTGTCCTAGGGCAGGTATGCTCATCAGAGAGGAATGCAGAGAGTAAGAAATCACCCCCTAAGGGAGATGACCATGCTGCAGTCTCTTCTCTTCTCCTTTCTGGATTTTGGGCACACATGCATACATACCTGGCATGTCTTTCATGCCATTGAGTCCAGGACTTAAACCCTGAAGTCAGCCATGTGGGATCTAGCCACCTTAAGCACCATGCCACTGCTGGCCCCTCATCGATCTTTGAGTAGCACTGAGTTATACTTTTTCTAACAGTTGGAAACCTGAAAAAATTAAGTTAACTGGAAGAATGAATATGAAGTTTCATGTTTTATTCAGTAATTATTTATTGCTAAATGTTCATTCAAAATGACTTAGTTGTCCTGTTACTTGCTTTTTAAACTTCATTTGTAGCTTGATCTTGCAGTTTTTAAATGCTTTCATTTTTTGTTTTTAATACAAAGTTAATTTTAATGTAATCTCTTCATTTTTAAAGATGTTTTTGCAACAGTCAAACCCTGGATTGAATTTCGGTTCTGTTCAACTTTCTTCTGGAAATTCATCTAATATCCAGCAGCTCACACCTATAAATATGCAAGGCCAGGTGGTTCCTACTAGCCAGATTCAAAGTGGAATGGGTACAGGACACATTGGCACAACTCAGCACATGATCCAGCCGCAGACCTTGCAGAGTGCGTCAGCACAGGTAATGGAGGTACAGTGGGTGGTGGGTGTTCAGTGATTAGAAGAACACTGTTGCTGAGGCAGAAATGAAGCTCTAGTAAGATACAGTATTTCACATTTTATAGTAATCAGAAAGTATTGCCTTGAGCATGATTACTAAAATATTTTGTACAGCTGGGGCCAGCAGGTGGTATAGTGGTTAAGCTGACTAGGTCCTACATAGAAACTGCATGGTTCAAGGCCTGGACCCAGAGTCTTAAAAAACATGCTGGGTGCATGTGCTTATGTGCCAAAAAAAAAATCCCAAGAGGAGACTGGAGGAGAAGATGAGAGATGGCCATCCCGCAAGGGTGGTTTTTCACTTTCCCCTCTCTCTCTCTGGTGAGTGCACACACCATCTAGCTAAAACTGGGGCAAAAGAAGAATCTCTGCAAGGGCCAGTACTGTGGCCTAGAGGTAAAGGGTACTGGGCCCACATGACGGACCGTGAGGTTTGAGTCTTGGGCCAGTGCTCAGAAAACATGCTGGATGCTGTGATTACATGCGCCAAATAGTGACAGGACATAGAAAGGAGGAGAAGGGATTGTGGCGTGATCACTCTCTACCGGGAGTATTTTCTCCTTCTTTGTCTCTCTGGTGAGTACACATGCCGTCTGGCAGATTTTCTTTTAAAAAAAAATCATATATGTATGTTTGTTTATAGTGCAAAGTTAGTATTAAAAAAATTTTTTTTTTGGTAGCAGTTTTTGCCTTAGGGTGTGTGCGTTTGCTGGAGAGACAGACAGAGACAGTGAAAGAACGTGAGAAATCACTTTCACCCCAGGGGTAATGACCATGCCACAATCCCTTTTCCCGGGATCTTGGGCACACACACACCCAGTGTTGAGTTTCAGGCCACAAGGTTCAGGATTCAAACCATGGCTGACCATGTGGGAGTCCAATGGTGTAACTACTGTGCCATCTACTGGTCCAGTGTTAAATATTTTCAGGGGCTGGCTCCACAGCCTGGTGGTAAAGGCAGCCAGGTTCCACATGGCCACCCATGCAGTTTGAGTCCTGAACTCAACAGCTTGAGAAACCTACCAGGCATGTGTGGATGCATGTCCAACATCTTGAACAGAAGGAAAGATAGAGAAGGGGTCGCAGTGTAACTATTCCGCCTTGGGGGAGATGCTTTCTCACATTCCTTTTGTGTCTCTTGCAAGTACACTTGCCCTCTAGCCAAAGGAGAGAAAATGATAGTATTTTTTTAATATAAATAATTGTTTTTAGGGAACCAGCAGTTAGCGTAATGGCTATGTCACTGGACTCCCACGTTGTAGACTGCAGTTCAAATCCCGGACCCGGTGGCTTAAAACTCACGCCGGGCGCGTGTGCATGCGTGCCCAAGATCCCGAGAGGAGAACGGAGGAGAAGGGATTGCGGCGTGACCATCCTCCCTGGGGGGTGATTTCTCGCTTTCTGTCTCTGTATCTCTCTCTCTCTGTCTGGCGAGTGCACGCGCCCTATAGCGAAAACCTCTCAAAAAAAAAATAATAATTGTTTTTAAAATTATCTTATTCATTTATTTTAATTTGACCAGAGAGGGGGCGGGAAGTGAGAAAGCAAGCCACCAGGTCCGGGACTCGAACCATGGTTAGCCATGTGGTAGTCCACCATCTTAACCACCACACCACTTGCTGGTCCCGAAAACGATAGTATTTTTTAAAATGTATTTACAACATTTTAACACTTAAGAAATTTCATGATCTGTTTAGGGATCTAGTCTAATATTGGGTCATTGTAAAAATCATGACGCACTTTTGCACAGAAAAACAGAAAAATAATCCTGATTTTTCTGATGACCCGAAAGTTACACCAAGTTCTTTTCACTTAGAGATGGCTCCTATATATTAAAAAGGTTTAATTTAGAAAAGAGTCTGATGAGAAAACATGCCTACCACATGAGAAGAACCCGTTCGGGGAATATAGGCAGTGTGAGGGTCTTGAAAAGTTCGTGGAAAATCCTTATTATGAAAAACAATGCATGGATTTCCTTTTTTTTTTTTTGCGCCAGCATGAACTCAAACTGACTTGTTAATAACTTGTTAAAGTTTGAAGCACTGAGAAGCATAAGGCATAAGTTCTAAAAGAGCCCTCATCAAACATGAATTCTGCTAAAATTTAAATATGAACAATCACCACCGCTATGGTGACGCATGGATGGAAGAATAGTGAAATCCTTGATGCTTTATAAAAAGTTTATGGGAATAATCCCCCAAAGAAACCAACAGTATACCAATAGATAACTCTTTTTTTAAATTTTTATTTATTTATTTTATTTATTTTTAATTAATAATTCTTTTTTTGGGAGGGGAGAGGTTTTTTTGTTTGTTTGTTTGTTTTTTGCCATAGAGCGTGTGCACTCACCAGACAGAGACAGAGAGACAGAAAGTGAGAAATCACCCCCCAGGGGGGATGGCCACACCGCAGTACCTTCTCCTCCATTCTCCTCTCGGGATCTTGGGCACGCACGCACACGCGCCCGGCGTGAGTTTTAAGCCACCGGGTCCGGGACTCAAACTGCTGTCGACTACATGGAAGTCAGCGACATAGCCATTACACTAACTGCTGGTCCCTAGATAACTCATTTTAAGAAGGGATGAGGCTTGTTGTACCTAGATTGGCCTCAGACAAGAGCAGAGCTTTGGCTAGAAGTGGGATCAGGTCCTGAAGCATTCCCTTGAAGAAGTGAAACAGGAGAGGGCCCCTGGCTTTACAGCCCTGAAGGTGCAGCAGTGGCCACCGAGAGGTGTGGGAGAGGTCCAGGGAGAGGAGACGGACCAGTGGAGAGCACAGGTCATGGCGTCCGACTTCTGAGTCACTAGGGCATTTTGCTTGCCGCCTTCGTGGAGGGCAGTGAGAATAAGTGCTCACCATGAGAGTTTTGAGAAAGCCAAGCTGAAGCTTTAGCAGAACCGGGAAGTCTTCCTCGAGAGTCCTTCTGCACCGCA